TCCTCAGGGTTCTGTTCTGGTCCAGACCCTCAGGGTTCTGTTCTGGTCCAGACCCTCAGGGTTCTGTTCTGCCTCAGGGTTCTGTTCTGGTCCGTACCTTCGGGGTTCTTTTCTGGTCCTCAGAGTTCTGTTCTGATCCAGACCCTCCAGGGTCCGGTTCTGGTGCGGTTCTAACCAGCCCGTGTTCCGTCCAGGTCTGAAGTACCTTCACTCGGCCGGGATCCTCCACAGAGACATCAAACCCGGGAACCTTCTGGTCAACAGCAACTGTCTGCTGAAGGTGAGCAGAAGCTTCTGGATGGTTCTGGTTCTGGTTCACGCTGCAGATGGAACCCAGAGGGGGGGGGCCTGGATCCAGATCCACCTGACCATGCCCCCCCTTAGGAACCAGAACCAGAACCGGGCCCAGAGGGAACCTAGAACCCCATGTTTGGCCCCCAGACTCTGAAGCTTGTCTTTTCTCCACCCAGATCTGCGACTTCGGCCTTGCCCGCGTGGAGGAGCCCGACCCGTCGCGTCACATGACCCAGGAGGTGGTGACCCAGTACTACCGGGCCCCCGAGGTTCTGATGGGCTGCCGCCACTACGGCTCGGCCATCGACGTCTGGTCAGTGGGCTGCATCTTCGCCGAGCTGCTGGGCCGGCGGATCCTGTTCCAGGCCCAGAGCCCCATCCAGCAGGTGAGGAGGTTCTGCTGCCCCCCGCGGGCCCCCGGCGGGTCGGAACCAGAACCAGACTGAGTCCTCTCTCTGTGATCTGCAGCTGGACCTGATCACCGATCTGCTCGGAACGCCGCCTCTGTCCGCCCTGGCCTCAGCCTGCGAAGGGGCCCGGGCTCACATCCTGAGGGGCCCCCACAAACCGGTACGTGATTGGCTGGCAGAGTGTGGGGGCGTGGTCTGCCCCAGGACGTAGAAAACAGGGAATCTGGTTTCTATGGTAACCTCGGATGAATAAATGGAGGCAGCTGGTTCCTATCTGAGCCATCAGGCTCCGCCTCCCCGTCTCTTAACCAACCATCATGCTGCTGCCTCGTTTCCATGGTTACTCCTCTAAAGTAGGGTTCTGTGTCTGCAGCCGTCGCTGTCGGTCCTCTACATGCTGTCGGACGGCGCCACGCACGAGGCCGTGCACCTCCTCTGCCGCATGCTGGTCTTTGACCCGGTGAGTCCGCCGACCGTCGCTCCCGTCCAGAACCGCTCCCGCCGGTCCAACCTGAACGTCTGTTTGCAGGCCAAGCGGATCTCTGGCAGCGACGCGCTGTCCCACCCGTACCTGGACGAGGGCCGCCTGCGCTACCACACCTGCATGTGTCAGTGCTGCTACTCCGTCCCCACCGGCCGCGTCTACACCCGGGACTTTGAGCCGGCGGCGGAGCGGCCGTTCAGCCACAGCTACGAGAACAGCCTGCTGTCCGTGTGGCAGGGGAAAGGTAGGTGTGGTCGCGGCGGTGGCGGCGGCGGTTCCTGGCGGACCTAAAGGTTTCCTGTCTGTGTTTCCAGAGCTGATCCATCGCTTCATCACGGAGCATCAGCAGGGAAAACGGGTTCCTCTGTGCATCAACCCTCAGAGCGCCGCCTTCAAGACCTTCATCAGGTGAGCCACCTGCTGCTGGTTCTGTTCCACAGACGGCTCTCCGCTCTGATTGGCTCCTAACTCAGGATGCAGTCCAGTAGAACCGGTACCAGAACCGGGTCAGACCTTTGGTTCTGGATGGAACACATTTATAGGCTGAGAAAGTTCTTGGTTCTGATGGACCCACCAGGAGGACTGGTTCTAATAAGGTACGGCGGCGTACCATCACCAGTTTAAACTGGATCAGAACCAGTCAGTAGAACCGCGGGCCCGACCTCTCAGACAGGAAGTGTGAATGAAGGCGTTGCGCTCCTTTGGTGGCGCCGATGGTTTAGCTGAACGTTGTTCACCATCCGCCATTAGAAGAAGAAAACAGAACCAGCGGGCGTTCCCCGCGAAAAACAAAGATGGAGGCTGCGTCTGAGCGTCTGACCTCAGATGGCCTATCGTCCAATAGATGAACATCTATACCTTCACTATAAAGCTCCGCTCTAGATATAGATGGAGGGGTCAGAGGTCAGCCTTCTATAGATGGTTCTGTTCTTCCTCTGCCTCTCTGGCTCCATCTGCTGGTGAGAAGTGAACGGCGCTGTCAGGTTGGTTCTGCTGAATTCTGGGCTTTGTTCTTGTGGTTCCGTCAGGTCGTGCAGGGTTCCTGCAGGTCCTTGAAAAGTCTGAAAAAACATTGAATTCTTCAAAATAAAACTAAGGCCTTAATTGGTATTAAAATGTCTTCAATTAGTCTTTCCTAGGTCTTATTTTTTAAACATCATAAATAATTTAACGACGACCTTCAGAATCATAGACTGGTTTCAGATATTACAGGCTAACTATGGAACCAAACGACCCGCTCATCGGTTCCTGTTAGCATGTTTCCATGGATACCAGGCCTCGTCTATAAAGACTCAAACTCACTGCGGATCCAGACGTTAGAACTGAGAAAGCTTCCTGGATGGGAAGCAAAACGTCTTCAAACCTGGGAAACCAAGTCCAGAGGATTTTTCTTTTTTTACTTTTACGTAATGAGAATGACCTTCATCAGCATCATGAATAGGATTATTTTTATTACGATTTATTTTTGTAATCTAAATTAAACATTAAAATTGAAAACATTTTTTTTTTATTTCAAAGAAATAACGGCTGGCCATCATTGGTTCCGTCCCGATAGCGGAACCAATGAAGCGTTGTTGCTGCCGGGACATTTGGGAGATGCAGCATTAACTGGAAAATATGAGCAGGTGTAAATATAACGAAAACGTCTCCAGCTCAGAGTTTCCTCCACGGATAAAACCAGGAAACATCCATGAGGCACAAGAAGTCATTGAAGCTGGGAACGATGGGAATGAAGGCGGTGGAGTCGCACGCGAAACGCGAAACACAAAGCGTCACAATCGAGTTAGAGAGAAACAGGCGATATTTCTGGGTTTAGTTCCTCCCTGGTCTCTGCAGCGCCTCCACTGATCACCCAATCTAACATAGAAAAACATACAGAGAAAAACAGCTGCAAAAAGCTGGGGCTTTAAAGTTTGTGAATTCAGTTTATTAATTGTTCAAATTTATCTGTCATTTGTGTGTTTTTAGTTTTCTTCCTGTTTGGGAAGCTTTTCAAAATTTCAACATTAGTGCTTAACATTAACATTGTGTCGCAAGCAGGTTGTTCTTGTTTCTTGTGTTTCTTGTGAATTTGGTCTTAATTTTATATTTCAAGTGGCATTAAAAAGTCTTGAAAAGTCTTGAAAAGTCCTGAAAAGTCTTGAAAAGTCTTGAACTGAACGGTCTCTGCTGTAGGAACCGTCTTACTTCCTGTCTCTGTCCTCAGGTCCACCGCCTGGCATTCCTCCAAGGTGTCCAGGAAGGAGGAGAGATGAAGGCTGCTGCTCCTCATCCTCCACCACCTCCTCACCCCCCCACCCACCGGACCGACCCCATGTCGCTGCCTCCCTGACCCGGCGCCGATGTTCCTCAGGAGAACCGGGAGAACTTCCTGCTTTGATCATTCCGACCCGGTTCTGAACCCTACCGCGTCGCCATGGCGATGGCAATGATGTAGCAGGTCCCACCGACACTCCCTGGTTCTGTTGGTGAGCGGCCTGGTTCTGGTCTCAAAGCGCCGCAGAAGCTGGGATGGACCGGTACCAGGCAGGAGAGCGTTGCTCCGGTTCTAAAAGCCGGACCTTCCAGGGGGGACCGTTTCTACTGGATGTGGTTCTGACTGGTCCAGACGATGTCCAGGAGGAATCTGGACCTCCTGTTGATACCGTCTGGGCCTCAGTCAACCATGAACAGCCTGGTTCTGGTCCGGCTGCAGGAACTGGGCCAAACCTTCCAGTGGGACAAAGGTCCAATTGGTGCCAAACTTGTTTGAAAGCGGGTCAGCGGCGTGGCAGGAACCAGCAGCTCCGGGTCGGCGCTGGAAGGCCCGGGTCTGGTTCCCCTGAGTGGTGCGGATGCTGTGCACTGATCCGGTTCTGATAGAACCCAGAACTCTGCTTCTTTTAACTTATTAGAACTTTGTTGTTTTGGTTCTGATTCTGCTCCTGGAGTCCAGAACCTTTGGGTTTCCGTAGAACCGTTTAGTTCTTGAGTCCGATTAGTGAGCCTAGATTCTGGACCGGGTCTCTGAGGCGCCGGTTCTGACCCGCAGCGTTTTAGGATCAGAACATCATTTCCAGCAGATGTTCTGGAACCGGAACCGGACCTTTAGGCGGTTCTGAGGAAGCGTTTAGCCGGTTCTGCCCCATCTTTAGGCTTAGCGCCGGGGGGGGCGGGCTCTCTGAAACGCCACTTCCTGTTTATTAACGTTAGTCTTTGTTCCAACTCTGCTCTAGTCCTGATCATAGGAGCAGTGAGCCTCATCAGGAGAGATGACATCATCTTAGCTCCTGTTTTATAGATGAATTCAACCAATCAGAGACTGATGCTTCGCTCAGACTGAACGCCATCAGAGGAGCTCCTGCTGCTTCATCTCTGATCCTCATTAAGGTCAGACGTCCAGTAAAGTGAGTCCAGAAGCTTCTGCTGCTTCATCTCTGATCCTCATTAAGGTCAGACGTCCAGTAAAGTGAGTCCAGAAGCTTCTGCTGCTCCTGTGTTCGATGCCAGACCCCCACATACCGGCGCTGCACTGTCACTGGGAATCCCCAGCAGCAGCTGCCTCAGGCCCGCTCACCTCTTGGGGGTTTTCCCCTCCTGTTGGTGGCGGCTGGAAGTAGATGTTAGCGTTTTTCAGGTCTGTGCTACAAACTGCAGGCAGCAGGATAATAAAAGCCAACATATTCTGCCGGCAGGTTTCTCCATTTGAAGTTAATTTAGGCGTTAATAAACTGTTTCAGAGGAGTGATCATAGCGCTCTGCATCAGCAGCGCTGCGTCTGACTCCCTGCCAGCTCCCAGATCAGCTTCTGATTGGTCGATGCGTCCAGCAGCTGATAAATGTTGAACAGTGAGGAACGTGCTACTCGCTAAAATCCTGATCCCATTCCTCTGAATCGTCTCGGTTCCTTCTGGGTCAGAACCGCGCTGCTCTGAGACCGTAGACGTTAGAACCCCCGACCCGGTCCGACCCACTCGATGTTTATTATTCTGAATGTTTGGTCTTTGTTTTAGATGAACTTCCTTCCTGCTTCTGTTCCTGTTTAGTTCTGATGTTCCGACGGATACTTGAATTTCTTAAACCTGTTTAGTGAATGATGGTGAATCAATAAACGGACACTGGATCACATGGTTCTGCTCTGTTCACTGGGTCTGGGGGGGGTGGGGGGCAGAACTGCAATCAGAAGCAGCCTATTGGAGGTTCTGCTGGGAGGGAGGAGTCCCTGGTGTCCCTCAGGGTGGAGGTTCTGATGGAACCAGAACCGCTACCTGATGGATCCGATTCCAGGCAGAACAACCTGGAGGAACCGAAGAGCCTCATGGTTCTGATCAGCTGATCCGGTCCAAACGGGGACAGAGAAAGGACAGAGGGAGGGCGGGGACAGAGGGAGGGCGGGGACAGAGGGAGGGCGGGGACAGAGGGAGGACGGGGACAGAGGGAGGGCGGGGACAGGGAGGACGGGGACAGAGGGAGGACGGCCATCTTTGTTAACCTCATTTCCTCTGGATTGGAAGTTAAAAGCTCCTCCTCCTCCCGGCCGTCTAGTCTCTGATTGGCTGCTGTTTGCTCACGCTGACAATATGTTTCAAAATAAGAGCGGTCATTTTAACGTTTGTCATTTTTCTTATTATTCAGTTTGATGCTGTTTTTTCTCATGCTCTGAGATTAAATATTTTAATCCTTTAATATCAACTCTGAAATGTATAAAAATCTCACTCACTCTTTTTACTCATTAAATGCTCTTAGAAATTAACTTTTTCACATGAAAACCTTTACCTACAGATGGCAGCAGGCCCTCAGGCCAATCCTCACAGCCCAGATAAACCAATGGAATTTCAAAATTAAAGCCCCATTTGTTTTCAGTGAATAATTCCACATCAGATGGATGGTGCTGCTCCCCCAGCCGCTGCCCCCCCAGCCGCTGCCCCCCCAGCC